TATAATTCTTGGGCACAGCAGGTTGAAGCACTATACTGGGAAGCTGAAGCCACTTCCACATGAGTTCGATCCCCGCCTGCCCCGGAGGAGATCCACAGGGCGGCAGACCTCTCCTGACCCGCCCACTGCTCCCCTCAGCAGTGTACTTCGTCGATCTGCCTGTTCTGTACCCCACTCTGTCTCTGGTGAATCCTCTCACCCTCCGCATCTTTGGCCTGTTCCCCAGTTCTGTATGAATAAATAAATCTTAAATATATATATATATATATATAAAATTCTTAATGACTAACATTTTATAGCATCTAATTACACAAAGAATTTGGGGGCATTCTGTTTTTCCCCCTCCTCTTTCCTGCTCATACACATTTTGTCTGTTTTCCTGCTATCTACACATGTTCAAGAACCCCTGGGTTATTTCTTTTCACTCTCTAGAGTAACATGGTATTTATCCAAACTTATTAAGAACCAGCTGCTCCTAAGAGACTTCAAGATAAATAAAATTTATTCTTCAAATGCCAATGTTTCTAAAAATAGTTAATACACATCTCTACTATTTTTAAGCAAAACATCTGGTTCTTGGTATAAATTAGACCCAATTATTGTACCCTGGGACCACTAAAATGTATGGGGATATTTGGGTACTTAGGCTCAACTGAAGTGGGCTTGGGCAGCTGCATTTTAGGGTTCCTCTGTTAATGACTTACACTTTTTATGACCTTGTCCTTGCCTTCACTGAGCAGGCTGTCACTTCTTAATGGCGCTCTGACTTCTTGAAGCAATAACTGCCCTCTTTGAAATGCTGCAAGGGTTGATTGTTACTTGGGAGAGCAGGCATCTATGTTTGCTAAAAACACTAAAAAGAAAGAAATCTACTGTTTGTGGAAGGGGACACAAGAAGTAATGAGGTGGGGACAGGGAACGAAATGCTGTCAGTCTGGGCTTGGCATCTTTGCAGGTTCTATCTGAGCTTTGGACAGCTGAGCCTATAGCAGAGAGAATTCTGGTGGAGCAGAAGACCGACACTCCTTTTCTGTCTGCTCACACACTGACTTATCAAGGATGTCCAATTTTTGGTTTTGATACATGTGAGTTTTGGTAGTCCAACTGGCGTTTATGGTCCACATATGTAGGAACATCCTACTCTTGCAACACAGGGCTAAATAATGTATGTCTCATGTGTGCCCCCTGATTTATGACTATATATACATAGAAAACTACTAAAATAATAAGTCACCAAGAGGAAATGAGCCCATTTCACAAAAATACAACTACATAGTGACTACCTATTAAAGCTAACTTTTTGTGGTATGATTTTTAATGTATCTCGATGAAATGTGTTTAGGAACTTACTGAGATATTAAAAACCTGATTGACCTAAACCTACGAAGTTTTGTAATTTCTGCTGTCTAAGTACCTTCATATTTGAGTAGCTTTTTATATTTTAGCAGATCATAATCATTCCTTTATCTAATTAACTTAGACTTCCCTCAACACAAAGTCTGATCAAAATCTAACAAGAAAGAAAAGATAAATGGAGAGAATGAAGAAAGGGAGCGAGGGGAGCAGTTGGGAAGGCCGGAAGGAACATCTTTTATATGAATATTTAGCAATGTTTTCTTTAGGCCAAAGACAGACAGCACACCTCATTTGCATAGTTTTAATAAAAGAGTTCTAATTATAGCCTACTCGATCTATTCCTGACTTGTCGAAAGAAAAAAATTCAGCTCCAGATTGGTCTTTGGTGATCTGGCGGCATCTCGTCCTATCAACTTTCCTGGTAGTATCATGTATATTCAGAAATTATTACAAGCTATGTCCATTATTAAAATACCAGAGGAAAGAATATAATGCATAAAATATAAGTGTATCACCAGATACTTTGGGTTGCCATTACATTTAATGCCCCCCTCTATTATGGCAGAAAAGTGGGGATTCATTCTGGTCAAGTCTTTTTGTGTAAAAACTCCAAAGAATGACTTTTAAACAATGGACATGGACCCACCTATTATAGAGCAAATGAAATTCTTCCACTCTCCAGAAAAACTGGTCTTGAATATAAAAAATAAGCTAGGTCTCTTCCTTAAGATTCATAATGCACATTTTGCTCTAAGTTTTATTTGCCTTTTGCAATAACATTTAAGAGAAAACAAACTGACCATTTACAACCTAAATAAAGGCTCTAGAGTGATTAAGAAATGCACCTGGCCTCACTCAAACAACATGCTCATTTAACCTGGTGACTTTCCTGTATCTGGGTCAGGCTGGGGACATCTTGGCTGGGGAGGGAAAGAAGAATAAATATAACTGAGTCACTGACAACAAAACAGTTGTACGAACGACCCTTTGTAATTACAGCTGTTTTAACAGTTTCTAGTGGGCAAGGCTGTCATTTAAGTGGCCCACTATAATTTGGGATGAAGTCCCAGGAAAGTATGCCAACTTTAGAACAGGAGTTATATTTCTGAGTTTACTCAGCATAATGAATACACTGAAATGCTGAGTATTTATTCCTTAGTATAATTTTACGTAAAGGGAAGAATTAACAGAAAAGGAACCTAGCTACAGAGGAAAAGAATAATACCACTTTCACTCACAGTAGACAATAATTTATATTACTTTCTACATCTTTTTTTAATAGAAAATTTCAATCATATAGAAATATACCCCCACACACAGAATGATGAACCCCAATAAACCCATCACTCAATTTCAACAGTCATCAGCAGCACATGGTCAATTTATTTTATTGTACCCCATGCACTTCTAAAGGAAATTTCAGACAGCCTAGATTCTATTTCATATAAACTTCCATTTATGATATATGTATGTTTCCCTAAAGATCACTGCAGAAATCTTGAGTATGAGGTGTTTAAAATCACCTTATGCACATTTTAGAAAATGTTTTACACTAAGATCTATCTTTTTAGAAAACGAATTTGTTGGAGTATAATTGGATAATTAAAACGATAAAGTAACTTGAATTGCAACCCAACCCTCTATTATTTTGTTTATGGGGGGAAAACAAACATTCTAAAATTGAAAACAGTGCGGGTTATTCAATCCCTGTGATTCTAGTCTTTGTGGACACACTAATCAACATGAGACAAGATTAAAGTAAAGTGGGAAGACTTGCCTGAGGGAGCTTGGGCAAATGGGAAGAGGCTACTAAGGACCCAGGAGGTGCCTGGAAGGAAACGATCCCCTTTTCCTTCAACAGACACACAGTAAAACAGCACGTCAACAGGCCAAACCTTGCGAGCTTCAAAAATCATTCCTCAAACAGTCCAGCTACTTAGCGTAATTTATTACCAATCTTAAAGCAAAGATCAAAAGGGACTCCATCTAGCATTTATATTCCATTCCTTACTGCCTGATGACTAATTTGCAAGGGAATGATGTCTTTACAAGGGAAGCCAAAATAATTTGAGGTGACTTTGATACAATGCCACAAAGGATATGAAGAGGAAGCCGGTAGAAACTGCAAATGGCTAAGTTCCATTAAGAGTTCTAATAAAAGAATAATGGAATTTCCCTTAACTGTGAATTTAAAAATGGTAGAAGTGGGCAACATTTAGACAAGTCAGGCAAAAACTTTGATTTGTCAAAGTCTTTTTTTGCTGTTGCTATTGTAAAATGTTAACGTTAGCCACTGTTAAATTTATGTTAAATGGTTTCAACTAACAAAACAAACAAACAAAACCCCACAATTTTCCCATCAGAAACACGGCCAATCTCATTCCTTTTGCTGTGTATTATTTCTCCGCCTGCACTTTCCATCTGCATCGTCAGACACTACTGGCTCCCTCAACCTCTTTCAAAGAAATTGGCATATTTTGTGAAATGATTGCTTTAACCTAAAAAAATATTAACTTGCAGTGACATAATTTCTGATATAGTACATCCCCACGGTCATGTGGAGCATAAATAACCCTTTCACAAATTTTTGATGCTTAAGTTAACTGGTCACCATAGAAACACTAGAAGCTATTCAAATTCTTTCAACTTCTATGAACAACTGGCACATTTTTTTCCTCATGAATCCAGACATCTCCGTATTCTCAACTGAGGAAACTAGTTTTCACACTACTTATTTTGGCTAGTTAAAAAATTCCTACCACATGTCTTCCTGTAAATTCATAGATAAAGATTTAAGTTTATATTAGCATTTCAACTGTGAAAACTTTTTGTTTGCTTCTGAAATCACCTCAAATTAACAGATTTATTGGAACCCTACAGTCTACAGAAGTTTTGCACACGTATCAGAAATCCTGTAGTGTGTTTCATCATGATGCTATGGTGTTGAGAACTTTCTTTAAAAATGCTTGTAAGTGTGTATATCTTCAAGAATCCTTGTCCTTTACAAATATGTGGTGTCAAACGAAAATAAAAAGATGCACAGGCTTCTTCAAAAACCCTGAAGGCCTGGTGTTGGGTACAAATGAAACAACACTGGCCACCGGCCTGCAAAGCTATGGGAGAGGGACATAGAGTACCAACACTATTGGATTTTCTGTGTAGCTAAACTCCTGGCAGTGGGTATTTCTGATATTTATTGTTTTCAATTAAGGTTTTTAACTTAGAAAAATAACCTATCACAAGCAATGGACAACCAAGGGTTGGCAATTAATATTTCAATTAACTTTCTAATTCAAAGGCCAAGTTCATTACACTACAGTATTTGGAAAGAAAAAAACCAAGCAAATAAAACGTACCCCCAAATCTGTCTTTTCACAATCTCTGCGATTTCAGTGACATGTAACCAGATTTTAGTGTGAATAATACAGGATTATTTTTAGTTACAAATAAAACCTTTCTTTTTTGTTAAAAGATAAAAAATTGAAAAATGATAATGTAAATGTAACTGTTGGTATACTTTGCAATTACTACATATTGGTGAAAATCATGCTATATACGTGTGACATATATATGTGATATATATATATACACACTAACATAGCTAATATATGCTACATTAGCACAGTAATAAATGGTTCTCTTACCTTGTGATCATATGGATTGTAAGAATGAAATACCCGAGAAAGATCTTTTGTTCTTTGCTTTTTCTGTGGAAGAAAATACAAATATTTGAGTTGACAGGTTGCAAATACATACATCTATGTGTCTAGCTTTCTATGTCAAAACACTCAAATTGGGGGAAGATCTTGTTTCTTGAGTTACTATTGGTTTACACTGTTGTTCCAGGACCCGAGTCTTTTTCTGTGTTTTCTGAGAGGCTACAGTGTGGACATGGGACACAAGGAGAAAACAAAACCTCTTGACTGTTAGGTGGGTCGATGTCACACATCAACCAGGCAATCCCTTCTAGAGTTTTCCTAATGAAAATACTCTCGCCAGAAAGTCTGAATGGAAAACTCAAGAAACTATAATACAGAAAAGTAACTGGAAAGAAAAGTGTGACACATTTGGGAAGCATTCAGATGATGGTACCACTACCTGGTTGCTCCTACTCAGGATTCCTCTAGCAAGCGATCCCAACACTACACTTCCTCCAGTCCCAGTCAGTTTGTGTCTGCCTGAGTCTGTATGCAGGGCCATCTTTACACACCAGTTCTCTGCCTGCTATCTCTCCACAGAAGGGACTGAAAAAACATTTGCTTAATTAATAGAAGAATATGCCTGATATGCCGGGGATATAACTAACAGAATCGTGATTATGATTTGTAGTTATGAAGCTAGTTGTGAAAAGAGAAGGCCCTTCCCGTCCAGTGATGTTTTCTGAACCCAGGTACTCCTTGAACTATGTCTCCACCTCCTACTGCCCAAGTTCTGTGACAGTAAAGATGTGTGTGGTTCTTATGTTATAGATGACTCTAGGCAGCAGCTAGTTTACTGATGCACTGCGTTCTGTCAGTCCATCACGATCCCCATGGAAACTTTCATGTATGCTTCCAGATGTCCTATGCATTTATATTAACGCACAATAGTTATTTTAACTTTCAAATAAAGTGAATGCTTTATACACACTGTTCTGAAATTAACTTTTTCTACTCCACAATTTTATCCTTGTCAAACTTTAATGTCTGTGTATTAAGATATGAAATCCAAGAAGTTCTGAAATCTGTTTCTTTCTATATTAATCTCATTTCAGTTTTGTAATACGATGATGATTTTAAATAAAGACCCTCCAAATTGCCCTTTCCCTCACACATTATACCAACTGGCCCTTTCACCAAGAATGAATGAACAGAAGGGACTGTAGTTTAAGTTGGAAACTGTTAGGGCTTTCTTTTTATTTAAAGGTTGGAGCATTTCTAAATTTACAGAAGAGATAATACATTTTAAAATCAAATACTGAAAATCTTCCAAGCAGTCATAGAATTTATTTTTGTATAACACACACGTAGCACACTACGACATCAAAAATTCTGTCCTGGGTATACCTGTCTGTCTTTATTACTTTTCTTTTCTTGCTTCTACTCTGATGTTGCTAATTCATCTCTTATCAGATGAATCAACTTCATTTGATGTTGTTAATTCTTCTAATAGCTTCTTCTCGTTCACTTAGGAATGAATCTCGCCCAGCATCCATGTTTCATAGGGGAACATTTCCTGCTAAAACGCCAGTATCCATGTGAGCATATGTCAGTACCTGAGTTCTAAATAACCTCCCTGCCTCAGTTCTATGTGACCTTCTGCAGCAAGCAGGCACAGCAGTTGGATCTGAGGTTATTCAAGATTTCAGTTGAGTCACTTGCACACACTCCTCATTTCCCCCCGGTTTTCATATTTCAAAACTGTTGTTCAAGCCACAACTCCACTTAGCAATTTTTTAAATCACTCTGCCTGTTTCTACTTTCTGACACCCCACAAAAGTCACCTCTCCTTGATGCCCCACTGAATTCTACTTTAACCTTTTTTCTTTAGTGAGAAGATATATCTCTAATGGATTGAAAACATGCTCGTGGCTCTACGAGCCTTGGAATTTGTTCTGAACAGGTCATTTACCCACCAAAGTTTTCATTAGTTTATAACTTTCTCTTTCCTTTCCATACACCCACTAAGTTGGTGTAATTGCTCTTGGCCTATATTTCAATCAAGAGAAAAATGATGGATATGAATATTCCCTTTGGTAGAAGACAATATAATGCACTGGATACTTTATTTTTCAAAAAGGAAACCATACTCGAGAAGATAAAAATAGACAATATATTAGGATTCAAGTTAGAAGATGCCCCAAGGACCGATCAGTGCCAGAACTGGTTGAACTTGAGTTGGCAGGTCGATAGGGAGTATTCAAAGGTTGCTCTGAGTGACCTTTTCATATAGGTATTGATTTTATATCTGATTTGCTATCTCCAATAGCAAAAAACTACATATCCTTTTAATTATAAGCTACCTCAAATTATTTTAAAAGAAAAGTATAAATGGTAGGCACAAAGGTAAATAAATAGCACCACTCAGATTAGTCCCTAAGAAGCCAGTGAGGAAAGAACACATTTTTTTTTTCTCTAAGAACAAATTTATGATACACATATAAGGTGAAGTCTTGACTGTGAATAATGAAGGATGTATTAGTCCTAAGAAGTGAAAACTACTGCTATTTCCTCATGAGATCTGAGTTACACAGCCCAGAGGCTTCACTTTCTGGGATCCCGATGACCCAAGGCCAATTAACCTACCATCTGATTTCATATATAACGCTTCACTGAAACACAGTTACACTTATTTGCTTACGTATTATCTATGTAGTTTCCACGCTATAAAAGCACAGTTGAGTGACTACCTACCTCAGAGATTGTGTAGCTCTTAATTTTAAAGTTTTACTATGTAGTCCTTTACAGACATCCCTAATGCTAAATTTCCACCTCTGAACATGTCTGCAAAACAGTACATTAACTCTAAATCAAACAAATAACTGTCAAACAAAATCTCTTGTAGCTTCTACACATTCAGTTAAGACAATTCAAGAGCCCTGATTTATCCCTGAAATAACAGAATGAATGCGCCAGGCAAAAACACAAAACCAAACAATTAGTTGCTTTGTTTTGAGGATTTTACCTTTTGGGCATTTTATGTTCAGACAGAGATTACAACTTCTTAGTTGGTTTCTAGAGTATACTGAGGTAGATACAGGGTTTTCAGAGTCTCTTGTATTCACAGTATAACTGCTGATGACATCAACTGAGAAGGAATGCTTTACCTACCTGTAGCTCTGAAGTCAAAGGCTTCTTGTACAATTAACCGAAGCCTAACTACTATTGCTAGCGCGCCAATTTTTCACTTGTAGACAATGTTAAGAGTAAAAAGCTACAAAACCTGTCGAGCCTTGCTATCAGCAGAATTAACTGAAACCAAGAGCTGAGCCAAAAATGAAATAATTAGGTATTTTCCTATTGCATCATAGTGTGTCTAAATTACCTCCCATTTTTTTCGCCCGTTAAAGCAAACATCTCAGTCTTGCAACCACCTGCTAATTCTCCAAAGGTTTAAAAAGTAAACATGTTCAACAAGTTGTGTGATGAACTTATAAGAAGGGTGGCCAAAGCATAGCAAAGCATCTCCCAGAACAGTACAAGGTCCCTTCAATCAAACCTCATCATTAATCCCAAGGTACAGTTTACAGAGATGAGAGGTTACGACAAAGGAACCACATGCCGAGTCCTGCAGTCCTGGATTACACTGGGTTGAAAAGATGAGGCAGTATGCAAACTGAGTAAAATTCGTCAACTTCTGAAAGCTAACCATCTGCAGATGTCTATACTTGAGGTATTTCCCGAATTGCTTTTGTATTTCATGCTCCATGGACAGAAAATATTGATGATCCCTCCCTTTCAAACAAAACTAAAGGGTCCCTGTGAGCACTTTTAGCAGTTCAGCTTTCCAGACAATGTAATAACTTCAATTTTGAGCAAAAGTATGAAAGTATGCAATAGTGCTCAGGCTGAAAGAGGCTTCCTATGTGGTGAGAAGCTACATTCTGGTGTGAAGGTGTATGAGCAACCTGAATTGTAACAACAGCCACTCCTTTAGCTTCTCTTTGTCTGCCAAACTAATTCAATGTTCCCTGTATCCATTCTCTATGTGTAGATTAAAGCTTTTTCAAGCAAAAGTTATTATAAGGTAAACTTCAGTAACACAATGGACTTCATTTCTACACATGGGTTGTCAAAAATGGTAATGTCTATGTGAGCTTGCTAAATGTAAGGTCTATTGTAATGGGAATCTTCATTACGTATCATGCAAACACCAGAGAAGCTGGTTCACGGTGGAATGTACTAACTTCTCATTTCTGGTTCCAGAATTGCAAGTATTAGACCCAGAGGTGCTGAAACAGTCAGACTGCAAACAATCTAAACAGAGAAATGTAAATTTTATTTTTTTATAACCAAAGAGAAATTCTAGAGATCAAAAACACTGTAACAGTAGTGAAGAATGTCTTTGGGTTATTAGTAGACTCTTAGACATGGCTGAGGAAATAATCTGTGAGATAGAGGGTATATCATAGAATTGTTGAAAACCATAAAACAAACAGAACAAGGATTGAAAGAAAAGAAAGAACTGATGTTAAAGGACTGTGGGCAATTTCAAAAGTTATAACATGTTATGGTTCTACCTGAAGAACTATTTGAAGCAATAATGATTGGGGATTTCCCCAAATTAATGTCAGACACCAAACCACAGATCCAGGATGCTTGTAGAATACCAAACAGGAAAAATGTCAAGAAAATTATTCTGAGGCATATCATCTGCAAATGAGAATGAATCAGAGATTAAAAAGAAGAATCCTAAAAGGATCCAAAAGGGAAAAATACCTTACTTAGAGAAGAACAAAGAAAATTAATTATATCTGACTTCTCAAAAGCATGTAGACAAGAAGAGAGTGGAATCCAGTAAAAGGAGTGAACTGTATGATGAAGGATGAAGCCAAACTTTTATTGGGGTATAATATAGTATATATGCATGTTGTTTTGTAATGATGTACACCTGGAACATTATACCACGGTGGTATAATGCAATGTTACTTCAATAACAACAAAGAAAAGGTGGAAAGAAATATTTAGTTGTTGAGAGAGGAAAAAAAATTCACGGACAAAGAATTCTG